ATATATATATATATATATATGTGTATATATATAATCCCCTACAGAAACACGATGCTTACACTAGATATCAGATAAATATAGCCTTACTACAACACATACGTTTAATATTCTGGTCGCCTAACCCCATTGAATAGACCCCATCAGTTATATCCGCGGCACAACCTTGGCCACTACCACTCACACGCTCACGCGAGTACACACTGTTGATACGGAACTGCCTTTGGCTGCAACGTGGACTACGCATGTTGTTATTTCCGCACACATGTCTGTCGTTCGGGTCATCGTGTTTCCCACGCATTCTATTTTTATCGCATGTGTGCTTTGTACTATGTATTGGATTGGCATATATCTGACCAAAGGATTGTGTGTTTAGCGGTTTTGAAGTATTATTGTGTGTATCATCAGAGTGCTCGTCGCGTAGGCGTTTGGTATCACTATCAAAGCAATTTTCGCAACCATTGCAATCCCAGTATGATTCGGCCATGAAGCCAATGCTATGAACCTCGGTAGCTTATGATTAGCAAAGTATTCCAGACAGTTTTATTCGTATACAAGTAAACTACTAATTTTGATAGAACAGTGTTTTGGTATGTGCTCAGATTAGCTATAGCAATTACATACGATCACTAAGTAATACTTTCATCACACCTAGGTTCCTTCTGAAATTTTCATAGTCAACAGCATGTCCCTAAATATATACCCTGTATTACAATTTACCGCACTACACGGAATATGAGTATATATCACACAAGAGAATGTACAGTTGATATATGTGTATCAATAACAAGAGAACAGATGGTTGATATATAGGTGTATATATGATATATAGGTGTATATATCACAAGAGAATGAACAATTTTATATGAATATCTGCTGCATTTAACTATATATTATAAATAATTCACAATGTTCACTACACCCATAGCCTTCTGAAAATTAAACACTACATATGAAATAACTATTAAAAAATGTTCGGTGATAGTTAAAGACAGGTCATTCTTTTTTAGATGACCTTTCTTTGTACCCTTATTTGGGCATGCTTTTCATGGATACAGCGGGTATTTTGACCCAATAAATAAAGCCCTAGATTCTTTCAAAAAAAAAACCCTCTAAACTAGTTTTCCCCTATATATTTTTATGTAGTATTAATTTGCACTACATAATTTAATTCTTTTATATATTTGTACGACAATGAGATATGTATTTTAAAACAATTTAAAAAAAAAAGGATTTTCAAAAACAACAAAACTATTTCTATTGATAGTACGGTAGTAGAAACTAATCAGAACCCAAAGTACATTAATTCTAAAAACTATTCTTGGTACTATTTTTGGGCGAACTTTGTCGAGAGACACCCGATGAGCTGACCTCATTACGTTTTACGTTAGTTCACCGTACAAAATAGAACTAACGTTTTTGGATCCGAAAACTAATTCAGGTGCATTCTATGGGTTTGGAAGTGCAGTATAGAGGTATTCTTAATATTAAAGGTCCTACGATTATTCAAAACTGGTGAAATCCCTCGAGCCCCACTATTCAACTTTAAATGTTATAGCGTTTAAAGTATTTAAGTTTTATACGTTTACGTTATTTGAACTACTCAAACGCAATGGGGTTAGGCGTTGATGAGTCACGTATACTTTTTGGAGAGTGGAAAGTTGTAAATAAATATAATGAGCGACAAATATGTGTATTGTTGACTCTTGAAAGCATATCAACAATATATAATAATACCCGTGTAAAGGTCATATTCACAACTCGATACAAACATAGCCGACTGGATCAGTATATGTGTGTACACACACACACACACATACACACACACACACACACACACACACATACACTCAAATATATATATACATATATATGTATATATGTATATATAAACAAACATACACATATATCTATACATACTTATATAGAACAACAAATAAGCCACTATGGGGAACCGTGGTATGGAAGACCTGATCCCACTGGTCAATCAGTTGCAGGATGCGTTCTCTCAATTGGGGGAAGACTGTCCGTTGGATTTGCCACAGATTGCGGTAGTGGGTGGTCAAAGTGCCGGAAAATCATCTGTACTGGAGAACTTTGTCGGCAGGTATGTTGAACCATATGTTTACGTTTTGGTTTAGGATTGAGTGTTTCGACGGGGAGCGGGGAGAGAATTGTTCAACAAGTTGGTAGTGCTTCTATTGGTATTGGTCTCATTGTAACCTATAACTAGATATGATTGG